AGCGGCTCCAGTCCTTGCACAATCTGTATTTTGTACGTTTTCCAACTTAAGATCTCGACGTAAAATGAGCCATACGTCAGTCCGAGTTGCTGCGAACGACACCGCATCGACGATCTCTGCCTTTGTGCACGCTCTCACCTACGGCTGCTATATTTTCTTCACTGGGTGCTGGACGTGGTCAATTCGTGGTCCCTTAAATTTAAGAATCTTGCATACATGGAAATTTAAGAATCTTGGAAATTCTCAGGATCAAATTAACCAAAAAAATTGTAAATTACTATTAAGTGAAATAATAGTAATCTCGTCGTAACAAAGTTTTTGAGGAATTATTATTTTTTTAAATTTAATTAATTTTTATATATCATAAAATAATGCTATACTAATCATTATCTTTAGTAAAAACCCAATAAAAACAATATAAATAATAACAATAACAATATTGCGAGCACATGGCAATACTGGCTAACCAATGTGATAATACCAACTTGGTAGGGGTTGTAAGTTTAAGCCAAACAACGCGCATGACACAACGATTATTATTACTCAACTTCAGCCAGCGTCAACCCTCAACGGAGCACATGCGAATTGTTCATTGCCAACTACAAAAACACACACACACACGCACATGCACATGCTCATAAGCAATTGCGAGTGTTTGGTAGCGTTTGCGCGAAGGAAATCACTCATGCACGATTAAGTTTGCCTTGTGTGTGCTGCAATGGAGAGGAGGTCACATCCCACATGGGCGCTGATTGGCTGGCGCTGCTCTATGCTGGCAGGCATTTTTGCTGAGAGCAGAGAATCGATTTGCTGAGACTAAAGGGAAATTTATTTAGCGCTTTCGTGCTAACGGCACTTCCAAGAGGGGAAACACTGCTGTAAAGTTGGCATAAAATTGAAAACGAACTTTTCTCTCTTTTTCATTACACATTTGTATTTGCATTGTAGTTGTTTGTGTTTTTGTTTCTGTTTTTGTTGGCGGCCGCAGCAAGCCGCTTTGGCACTTTTCTATGCAATGACTGCATTGGCGAGCGTTGTGTGTGGTGAGCGAGTGAGTGAGTGAGTGGTGACTGGTTTGATGATTGCTCGCGCAGTCAGGCAATGCAAAAGGGGGCAGCGGGCAGCAAGACAGCAAAAGGGCGGTAAGCTATTTAAAGGGGATGGGCGAAGACGCAGAAAACAAAAGCAGCAAAAAAACCAGTGGATATTGTGGAAAGAAGGCAGACTTTCTCGCCAACTTGGAAACAAAGTGGACGACACTTTCTTTTTAAAAGAAAAAATGGTGGCCTTGTTTTTGTTCGTGCCAACGTCGTGTTGTTCTTGTACAATTGTTATTCGACTTTTTTTGTGGTTGCAAAGGCAGAACATAAATAGTACAGCAATGCTATGCGCATACATAAAGTTGGCTGATAACTACAGGGTGTTTGCATAAGAGAGAGTGTACAAAAAATTAATAAAATAAAAAAAAAATTATTAAAAACCTTTATAAAATTTAATTTAAGGAGATTTCATAATTTTTGCACTGTGGTGTAAAATTAGTTCGAGAGTAATTTGAAATTATTGATTTGGTATAAATTATAAAACCAGTTTTCACTAATAAGAAAACGGCTAAAGACTAAATTTTTCAATTGAAATTTTTCTTATAAATTGATTGATTGATTTTGATTCTGCAAAAAGGTTCGGAGATTGGGAGGAAATTATAAAAACTGTCTAACTTTGTGAAAAGAAAATCCAACTTGTCGAAACGTTGTTTAAGTTTATCATTCAGTGAGGCAAATAAATGCCAATTATTAATATATGTATATTAGATTTTGTAAATAAAATCTTTGTTTATATATTTTTTACATAAAAAAGTTCTCCAAAAAAGCTGAAAAAATTGGCAACCTTTCGTAAAAATATGGATATAAAATAGCATTTATTTAGGAAATGTGAAATTTTAATAGCACATGCTTTTTATGCAAGTATATTTTAAACAGCTGGCAACCCTTATTTTTTCAATTGTAAACTGTCTTAAATCGCTTCAATTTTTAAACTGTGTTAATATATTGATGTTTCTAATGCAAAATTTTCAGTTTATTTTTGAACAGGTGGCAACTCTTATAAAACATATTCTCAATTGTAAACTGTGTTAAAACGCTTCAATTTGTAATATGCTTTTATAATTACATACATTGATTTCATCACAATTTTCAGATTATTCTTGAACAGGTCGCAACTCTCTTCGAAAAGTATTTTCAACTGAAAACCTTTCTGATCTTCTTAAGTTTTTAATGTTGTTCTGTAACAAATATTACATTTATACTACTTTCATAGAGATGGCAACTCGTAATTCGCTTTATATTTTATTTAGTCTGCACCAGAGGGCTTATTGTAAAATTCGAGTGTGACGGAAAATTGATACGTGTAACACAATCTCGTTGGAATCGAGCGTTTTGTTTTTTTTTTTGGTCTTGCCTAAAGTAACTGCACTTCAGAATTTAGAAAAAGAGATTAAAACTGCAAAATATCTTTCAAAGTTATACGGATCAGAAGTAAGCAAAGGCCAGACGTCATTAAAAACTTCGTATATAAACGTCATAGAGAGAGTTATATACTCTAATATAGAAAGAGATAACATCGCGTTCTCTCTAACAACTAAAATAGTAGTATTCTAGTGTCTATAAAATGAATTGGTTAAATTGCAGTTTTTAGTAACAAAATTCAAATTTCCCTAAATATTTTCTATGCCACACCCTGCGCAACACCCTATCAATGGACTTTCCGCCTGAACGACGACGAACGTGAAGTCTACTTAGAAAGCCAAACCAAATATGGCGTTGCCAAGAGTACGAGAAAGTTGGTTTCTTCCATTTTCCTTTGTTCATTTTGTTTAACTTGCTTGTTGTTGTTGTTTTGTGCATGCTGGCATTACCAAGTTGCCTACACCACATCTTTTCTGACTCGATTCTTTTATGGATCAGTTGATGCGTGGAAATATTTATTCTAGCCGTTTGCCTTTGTTTTTACTTTTGCTGTTTTTAATGCGAACAATACAACCAAACACACACACACACATAAACGCATGCATAGAGTGTAGTGGAGTTGTATGGTCGTGAAGAGCTAAGTTTAGCCAAACGTTAAGGGATTCCAAGAACATTGGCAGTGTTCCCAATGCAACAATTTAAATTTCTAACCAGACAACCATCCATCCAAGAGCACGATTTCAATTGGTTTCTGAAGTGTTTGTCGTGTTGTACCAGTATCTACTGTATACAACGGTGAGGCGGAGGGGGGTAATATGCTGTTGCTTGGGAACAAAAGCAAAACACTACAAAATCGCATATTTTATTTACATATTTAGATATACACACATTTACATACATACATACATACATGAGTTCGTATGTACATATGTGTGAGTGTGCAACAGATAATAGTAAACATGTAAGCTTAAAGCTCTTTAGCAGGAAAAAAATTTTTATTTGTAATGAAAGAATATATTTAATGAGTGTGCATTGTACATATATCAGTACATTATGCACAGCCCGACATATGAATATGTACATATGAAGATATTTGATAAATGTTTTTTTTTTGTTGGAAAA